AGGAGGCATTACAATCCCTGACTTGAAATTGTATTACAAAGATATTGTATTAAAATCAGTGTGGTATTGGACAAAAAGCAGACCTGAGAAACAATGGAACAGACTAGAAGGTGCAGACCCAGCTGCAAACAGACTCAGCTGCAAACAGACTCATCCACCTTATTATTTTTTAAAGTTCTCTCTCTCTCTCTCTCTCTCTCTCTCTCTCTCTCTCTCTCTCTCTCTCTCTCTTTGTATTTTAAGGAAGGGTCTACAGGGTGTTCAGGGTCTCACTACTAGATCAGACTTGTAGTGATCCACCTATTTACAGCCTTCCAAGAGCTGGGATTACAGGCACATGCCACCATGCCCAGTTTCAATTACTGTCTCAGCGTGCCCTGGGGGTGGGGCTGGCACAGCAGGCCCAGGGACTGAACCCCCAACCCCTGCGCCTGCTTGCAGGCACTTTAATCCACTGAGCTATTTGGCTGGCCCGTGTGTGTGTGTGTGTGTGTGTGTGTGTGTGTGTACGTGTACGTGTGAGTGTGTGCAGGCTCACACTACACAGCTCAGACTTATAGTGATCTCCTGTTTTCAGCCTCCCCAGTGCTGGGATTACAGGCATGCACCACCATGCCTTTTTTTTTTTCCCCTGTAACTGGGGATTAAACTCAGTCCCTTGTACTTGTCAGCGAAGCACTTCTTCCACTGAGTCATCTCCCCGGCCCTCATACCTGGTCTTGAAGGCTGGCTCAGAGAGCCCAGGGGTGGGACTGGCATGGCATGTGGTGCTGCGGCTTCAACCCCGGTCCCTGTGCTTGCCTAAGCAGGCGCTTAGTCCACTGAGTTATCTTGCCAGCCCCATCTACCTTATTTTTGACAAAGTGGTCAGACAGTTTCAATGGAAGAAAGATAGCCTCTTTAAGGAATATTGCTCGAAAAACTGGCCTTCCGCATGCCAAAAAATAAAACTAGACCCAGGTCTATAACCATGCACTAAATTAAATTCAAAATGGTTTAAAGACCTAAACATTAAAACAGAAACACAAAATTTACTGGAAGGGGGAGTAGGTGGAAATCTTGAAGACAAAGGGGTAGGCAGACAGTTTGTGAACAAAACCAAACTGCACGGGAAATACTTTAAAAATCAGCAACTGTGATCACATCTTTTTGAGAAGTTTTTTCACATCAAAAGAAATCACCAACAGAGTGAAAACACAACCGACCAGCTGGGTAAAAATCCTATGCAATAGTCACTGAGACAAAGGACTTCTAAGTAGAATATATATGAACAACAACAAAAAATCATGTCCCCAAAACTCAAAGACTCAATCCAAAATTGAGCATTTGAGGGGAATGCACACTTCTCAGAGGAAGAAATACAGATGCCAAATAAATATATGTAAAAATGTTCCACAGCACTGGTCAATCAAGAAATGCAAATTAAAGCAACACTGAGATGCCATCTCACCCCAGAAAGAATGGCTATCATAAAGAAATCAACTAGTAACAAATGCTGGGCAGGCTGTGGAGGAAATAAAAAACCCTTCTCCACTGTTGGTGGGAATGTAGACTGGTAAAACCTCTGCAGAAATCAATGCAGAGATGCTTCAAAAAATTAGGATTGCAGCCAGCCAGATAGCTCAGCAGACTAAGGCAGAGTGCTGGGTTTGATTGTCAGAGTGGCATGTGGGCCCCACCCCTGGGCACACTGAGAAAGTGACTGAGACTGGGAGTGGTTGCACATGCCTAGAATCCCAGTGGTTGGGAGGCTGAAAACAGGAGAATCACTATGAATCCAATCTACGTAGTGAGACACTGTAGACCCTGTACTAAATATATTTAAAAAAAAAAAAAAAAAGAAAAAGATTGGAAGTTCCATTCAAAGCAACTATTCCCCTTCTGAAATGTTCCAAAAGAATGGAAAACACCATACCAAAGTGATCTATTTGCACCCACGTTTACAGCAGCATAAGTTGTCATAGGTAAATCTTGGAAAAAACCTAAATGCCCATCAACTGAGGAATGGATAAAAAAGATGGTATTTTTATACAATGGAATATTATTCAGATATAAAGAAAGATGAACTTGAGGGTTTATAGGCAAATGGATGTAACTATAGGGTATACTCATAAGTGAAATCAATCAGACACACAAAAGTAAACATCATATCGTCTCCATAGTACAGGAAGCTGAAAGAAGAAATGAAATATGAAATGTACAATAGATACAGGAAAAGGGAAAGAAACAACACAAGGAATGAACAATTGAGATGAGGGCAAGGAGGCGACATAGGAAAAAAAGGAATGGAAAGTCAGGTAAGTATGTGCCCAGGAAGGCTAAGACAATTGTACTACTAATTTCTACCAGTTTTCTGAAGGTACAGCTAATGGTTAAAATTTTTACTTTGACTAATTTTATATACTAGTATCTGTAATGTGAGAAACTGCATTGAAGACAGCTCTGTGCAAACAAAACAACCACTGCTGAATGTCTTTCATCTTGTTTTTTTTTTTTTTTTCTGGGTTTTAAAAAAATGTGTATCATTTCTAATATCTTATCTATTATTTTTATACTCTCAAATAAATTTTAAAAAAGGAAAAGGAAAATAATTTTCCAGGTTTACGGGCAGGAAGAGCTAATGTTCTAACTGTTTGATCAGTCTTTCCTGCCTGGGTCTGGAAGTCTGAGCCACAAACTCGCTGATAAACACATGTACTGTAACAAGCGTTGCTAAAATCCTGTTCTTGTTTTGACATCCTGTACCGCTTTTCTTGTCTTACGGTGCTTTGTTTCTGTCTGTGTTCTTGCTACATTTTTCTCTTTAAAATAAAAAAATATATATATGAATAAGACGGTAAGGGAACAGTCAGGAGATCAGTGAGAGGTTTTGTTTGTTCGTTTTTGAAAGTTGGTGAATGGCACCTGTGTGCCAAGATGCTCGAGTAAGTGGCACCGAAGTCACAGAAGGAGCAGGGAGATTCTGCAGCTAGCGGCGTTGCCAGTTCTCCAAGGTGCCGTGGTCAGCGGGGGTCATTTGCATCACTGGTGTGCTTTCTCACCTTCTTCCAGGTATGCACCGTACAACTCTACTCGCGCAGCTCTTCCTGAGGCCTCTGGCTCTGACATGACTAGACTTTCCTTCACATTCTGCCTTTTGAGGACAGTTGTGTGAGTGGTGCAGTAGTCCCAGGAGGTCGTTGAAAGGAGAGTCAGTGTACAATGAGTATTTCAGTTCTCACTGGAGTTTTTTTTTTTCAGAATTAGATAATTTGTTTAAAATTCTCCATTCACTGTTGATTCTGATTCTGTTTCCCATGCTACTGATCCAAATGTAGGCATATTAGTGTACAAGCATCACTACACGACATATTCGGCTCACAGATTTGGTTACTCGAGAGCCCATCCTCCGCTCCACTTGGCCAAGCTAGTTGCCAATTCTTACTTCCATAAAATCCACAGCTCGTGTGTGTTGTTTCCTGTTGCTCAACGAGCCTTCCCCAAATGCAACACGTTGTCTCCTTTGCTGGCCTGTCTTTCTCTCTCCCCTCCCTCAGCACAGAAATGGGAACGCCCTAGCTATGTGGGCTTTGGGAAAGATTCTAATAAGGTGTACAAAATTACAGGGAAAAATCTGCTGGCTACTATATCAAAATCTGAACTTGCCACATTCGTTTGAATTACTTTTTGAGGGACAAATACGTGAATAAATGAGCCATCTAACCTTCAAGCTTCTAAACAGGGAAAAAGATGACATTTTCTCATGACATGTCCTTACTTGGCAACCAAGCAGCTGTGTGGGTGCCTTCTGCTTGCTCTGTGTTAGGAGCCACACTCGTCCCCTTTATTTAAATTTTGTCTTGAAACTGTTGGATTAACACATCCTGTTTATCTGCTTGGTGAGACTCTATTTCCTGCACGTAAAGAACACACAATCAGGGTGGGGATGTAACTCAACAGTATGAGTGCCTCCCTGGCAAGCTAACATCCTAAATTCAATCCCGGGTACCAAAACCCAAAAACAACAACAACAAAAAACCCAATAATCTGTTTTTGTCTCCGTTAAATATATAGTTAAGAGGCAGGCACAGGTAGGTCTTTAAAACTATGAGGCATACATTTTTATCCCATGGTTTCTTACCCCCAGGGGAATGACTTTAAAATAGAGACACCTGGGTGTCTACCAATGCCAGACATTTCTAGAAAGCACTGATTTCGCCACCTGTTCTGCCCTGCCAATAGTAGTAAAGTGTGACATCGTTTTGTTGATAAATAGAAATACTACAGCAGATTGCACGTAAAAAATGTAATAAAAGAAGCAGTGGGCTTATAATACCCAACACTGAAGACTTGTTTAATGAGACCAAATTAAAAAAAAATAATTCAACTGATATTTGAAAGAGAAAGTGGAGCTAGTACAACTGCAGGATAAACACTCAGAGATGCGTCACGTATCCCTGTCAAATTTTACACGTAGTGGAACATAATAAGGGCTATTTAGTACCCGAATGCTTAGTCCATGCAGGCGATCTTGGTGATGAGAGGAAAACCTAGCGAGAGGCCTCACACACAGCAGTGTTCAGGATGACAAGGCGCCTGGTAGCAGTGTGGCGGGGTGGAGGGGCAGGCATGATCGTCCCTGGTGAGCGGGCTAGTTCATCACAGTTGTTTCACACTGCCAACGCATGGTGACAATTTAAAATGTACTTGTGCTTATTTACTTTTTTATTACATTTAATTAATTTACTTTTTGTACTTAGGACCATGTGTACAGGGTGTACAGGGTGTCACTGTGTAGATCAGACTCACAGTGATCGCCTGTTTACAGCTTCCCAAGTGCTAGGATTACAGGCGCGCCACTGCGCCCAGTCTCCATCCCTGTCTCAGTGCGCCCCGGGGGCGAAGCCGGCACCACAGGCCAGGGGATCGAGCTCCCAGGCCCTGTGTCTGCCTAAGGTGGCGATTTCATCTGCTGAGCTATTTGGCTGACCCCAGTACCAGCTTAAACATTGCATGGTTTCAAAAGTATGGAACTCTTCACCGATCTGTGTGTCATCCTTGCACAGGGGCCATGTTAATCTTCTCTGTATCATTCCAATTTTAGTATATGTGCTGCCCAAGCGAGCACTTAAAGGATTTTGTGTGTGTGTTTGGCAGGGCTCAGGCTGCCTGAAGGGCAGGTCTGGTAAGGCAGGTGGAGCTGGGGGTTGAACTGCAGTATCTTGCTTCTGACTGCCTTTGCCTGAGCATGCACTTAAACAACTGAGCTAAGGGCAGGGCCCCCAATACTTGTGTTTAAATAGTTTATCATTTTAAAAAAATTCTCCAAAGGCAATGCAACCTCCTCATATATAGATTACAGGCAGACTATTTCTTCTGTTTTGGTACACATCTATGTTTTGATCATCTAATATCGGGAACATGTTCCCTTGAATTCGTGCTTCACCAGACCACAGATGTTTCCACCAGAGTCCCAGCACCCCGACCCTCTCCTTTCTACCTACCTTTGTCTGCCTCTTTATTCTGCTTTCTGTCTATGCATATAATTTTTTACTAAAGACTGTGCTTGACTTATAACATTGTGAAGGAGATTCTAGGGTTCATGATGGTGTGGAAACCATATGCATTTAATAGAAAGTGTACTTTAAATTCTGGGTTTTGATCTTCTTCACATACAGTAGGGTGTTGTTTTGCAATGCTGGGTAGTAGCTGTGGGACAGTGACCATCTGATGTTCTGCTGTGTGTCTTGATGCTGAGCTCTGTTGCATGGCAGATTAAATGCATTAGATACATGGGTGACAACATATTTCTTATTTAGCAGGATGTAATGAAGGGTATAATGCCTACAGTGGCCAAGCAAGAACAGAAATGGAGACCTTTTAAGATCCAGATATTGAAGCCATGGAATTGGACTAGAGTTTAAAAGGCAGAATGAGTTTACCTCATGGAGCAGTGAGGGGAAGGCTTTCTGTCTCTGTATTGACCAGCTGAGGTGGGAAGAGTTGTCCCGTGTCTACACCCTGCCTTCGTGGTCACAGGATCGGTCTTTTCTTTGCAAGAGGATGTTTGAATAGGAGACCGCTTCAGCTGCAGAATCGCAAGACAGCAACTACCATGGTGACACAGGGGACAATTGTTTTATTTTGGGAGATGCTTCTGGCACCTTCAAATGATACCTTTTAGATGGTTACTTGTCTTATAGACAGAACTCTGACCCCAGTTTACTTTCTCCAACTAAGACATTTCAGTGAAAGGAGAAATGGGGTCATTTCTACTGTACCAATGATGTATTTTTAATAGTTGGAAAAAGCTAATCAACTCAGAGTTATTTTTAAATGTTAAAGTTTCATTTTTAAAAAAGAAATAACCTTTTCTCCCAACAGGGTTGTAAAATAGAAGTACTAGAAAATGTCAATGGTTGTAAAAAATTAAGTAGCACTGGAAATTATCTACATAATCCCAGAGTGTAAGATTTCCACTTCAGGAAAATACCTATTAAGGTCGCTCCTACTTGAGTCACCAGCATTGCGTCATCGATTTTAGTAGCCTAACTCTGTGTCACAGCTTTGGAATGCAGGTCACTCACTCACGCACTAGCACAGCTGTGTCCTACCTTTCTAATTAGTAATCTTGTGATGTTTAACAATTATTATTGCTATCTTTAATTTTCGTTAAAATTGTATATATTAATGACCTATTACATGATATTTACGTGCCTACATTATAGAAATATGTATTGGGACCCAGAAGATAGCTCAGTGGCATAAGTGCCTGCTTAGCAAGCTCAAGGTCCTGAGTTTGATTCCTGATACACACACACACACACACACACACACACACAAATAGATATGCATTGTGAAAAGTATAAATCAAGCAAATTAACACTGACTCCTTTACTGATTTTTTCCCAAAAAGATTCCAACACAATCCGTTGGTGGAAGTAACAGGAGAGAGAGCTCAATTCCATCCTTTTTGTATATTTTTTGTCTCCATATCTGCTGCCTTTCCCAAGTATTCATGATGTATACAATTGCTGCTTTAGGCAAATGCCACATATTTAATTCCAGGAAGAGGTCAACAAGTGTGATCTCTATTTAGAACCACCTTGAACTCGTGACACCGCAGGTTCTGCAAGACGATGTTGCTCACAGAGATGTTAACTTTATTCTTTGCTGGTTTTCTCATCCTCAGACTCAAGCTCATTATCAATTTTTTCTGTTCTTGCTACGAAGAACTGTTCTGTTGATGTACGAGGGTGTACATGGCTTTTGACCATGTAATTCTATCCAGTATGTTTCGAAACACAGTAGTGCCATTTCATGAATGCATTTTTTTGTTGAAAAATACAAATATTTGCCAATTTAGCTTTAAGCAAGCAAGAAAACCTTTATTCACAAACAGTTCCTATTTTGCTTGTTAGATGTCTTGTGTGGACTTGTGGTTTTTAAGATTTCTCAGGAGGCCCTGTTTCAGAAAATACTCATTTTCATCAATCACCATCAAACAAGGGATGAAATTTTCTTCACTCCAATCCTCCTCTCTTTTGGGGATTGCATTCATTTTGTTCAGGAACAAATGTTCCTTCACAGACAGCTTTCTGGAGCACCCTTCGAAATTCTTTTTGTGTGTGTGTGTGTGTGGAACTGGGGATTGAACTCAGGTCCTTGAGCTTGCCAGGCAAGCACTTATTCTACTGAGCCGTCTCCGTGGCCCTCACCCTTCCAAATGTTATGGAAAAAAACCAATAAAAATATTTTCCTATTCAGTTGTAGCAACAGAAGAGAAATGAGAAAGGCTGCAGCCGTCTTCCTGGCCTCCCAGCAGCGCTCTGCACTTTCCCCTGGGACGGGAGGCTGGTCCCAGAAGACGGCCCACCGGGCTGTGCAGATGAGGCGAGAGCAAGGTTGCCTCTGGCCAGAGGGCCTGTTTCCGCCCCACTCAGCCTCGGACCACTTCCAGTCTCCGGTGGTCTCTGCTGTATTCAGTTTGTTGCCTATCATTTTGTGCTGACCAGGGCCACCTTTTAATCCACCTAGTGTAGGAGGGACATGCCCGGTCGCGGTCGTGCGCACACACATCCTTTCCATTGCTTTCTCTTATCACAGGCTCTCCTGCCACTCTTTTTTTTTCTGCTTTTAAAGTCTGTTGCTCTGTCTTTAGAGTTTGAAACTATTTAAAAGCCAGCCTGTCGGCTCTGTCTTTCTGTGCGAGTAGCCGTTCTTGAGTGTCCCGGCCTCTCCTACAGCCGCAAAGCCTGCTTCACTGTCAGGGTCAACACAGGTTTTGGCCTTGGGTCTTTCTGCTCAGGGCATTGTGGGAAAATTCTGCGTCAGTGTGTTCTTACTTTGGTTATACTTTAGTCAATGAGTCTTGTTTGAAAATAAACATACTTATAGTAACCTCATAGCTCATTGAGACACTCCTCAGTTAATCAGTATTACAGTGGGTCAGAACTTGATTTTTGTAATTAAGTATTAACTGCTTCATTTCTAGCTCTGAACACTTCCAAGTTACTATGGGTAAATAGTGCTTCTACCTTGGACTAGGCTTTTAGTGAATTGTCCAGATAAAGCAGTATCCCTTTTTGTTTCATTTGAGAAATGGCTAAAATCTTTTTTTTTTTTTTTTTTTTTTGTGGAACCAGGGGTTGAACTCCGGCCCCTACTCTTGCCAGGGAAGGGCTTATCCTACTGAGCTATCTCTCTGGCCCCACTGCCGTCTTTAAAGATGTTAAAAAAATTTATTGATGCAATTCACATGTAGGACACAGCACACTGCCTGACACTTCATGCCAAATAAACATAGAATCATGATGACAATGATTAAGTGATTTAATTAGGAATAAACAAGCTTTCTTCACACTTCATTATGTTTTTAGTTATTACATAACTGTCATAGTAAAATGATAAAATATAGATCTGAATGGGATCTTATATCTGTGCTTCATTACAAGTGCAGAAACTAAGACATATTTAAATAAGATACCTAGGTGCCGTGGTTAGCAGCAGTCCAGAATAAAACCCGAGTTCTTTATCTGCGCCACCAAAGTTCTTGTTTTTCTCCTTCGTGTTCCTTCTTGACAACTGCCTTTGCTATTTACTCCACTTAAATAAATCAACCAGCTTACCAAGCAACCAACACATTCTTAAATGGAAACCACTTAGACAAAATTTAGAGAATGATACAGAGGCAGGAGAGAAGTGGGGACAAGGACTGAGTCGGCACTGGGCAGGACCACAGGTAGTCTGCAAAGACTTCTCCTTCCTGCTGCAGAAAGACTTTTGAGCTGGCTTCTTCAACCCGGTTTCTGCTTTGTATTCAGTGGCAGAATTGCTGATCCCCTACCAGCAATCTCTATCTAATTTCTCATCCCTTTGCCTACTCACAACAGAGACTAGAAAGTCAAGTGACCTCTTTTCTTGCCCCCTTAAGAATAAGGGCTGATCAGGTATGACCAACGGCTCACCTACCAGACAGCCTCTAAGAAATTTGATACGGTATGAAAGAGATTGATAGAGAGTTCATTCTCTGTTCCTTTTTAAATTTGTGCATGAATTCAATGATGGAAGCAAAAGCAGCTATTTGCCCCCCAAAACAGCACTCATGAGGACACCTGGCCACGAGATAAGAATGGTAAAGTGGACAGACAGAAAGGCATGGGACGCTTGGTGGCCTTACAGAATTGATGCTCTGTATGAGGCCAACCCAGACTACTTGCTAAATCAACAGTAACTTTTATGTTTGAAATCACTATTGGTTTTGTTTTCTTTTGGTTCTCTTTTAGAAGATACTATCCTATTTTGTCGTGAACCTTTGCAATATCGCATAGGTGCTTGACCAGCATTTCTACGTAACCTGAAGGTTTTTATCTGATCAACTTCAGGGAAAGTAAGAAAACATGGAAGTCTAGAAAACTATTGAGGGAGGTGATCTAGGGGTAATCCAGGAAGCAAACTGCGCTGCAGTCTTAGTCTTGGTCCATTTTTACTTCAGTTAACTTTTTAGTATAGCTGATTTTTAACATGCACTCTTCTGCCTTTGGAAGACGATCTTGAACATTTATAAATAATCTTCAAATCTGTGAGGTGCAGTTTCAAAGAACTGTATGGATAAGTGAGAAGGATCGT